CCCCCCCCAAAAAAAGAGATTTATTATTACATGTCCCCAATAGTTTGGATTATATGCTAAGGAAATTACATGTTTTCAAAAATTATTCTCATTTTCTAAAATTGACTAATCCCATTTTTAATCTTATATAGATGACTGAAAACTATTTAATTCAAAAAGGATTTGTTAGCCATTAGATAATGTAGTTTGCTTGGACCATACTTTTGCTTCATAGTTGTGTGATTATTTTTGTCTCCCTGAGGGAAGCATGTCTTTCACAGAATTTGGGCTGGGAGTGTAGCTCAGAGTACGTGGCTAGCTGTGTTAGCATGGTTTGCCTGGGTGGTGCTGATTGTCTTTGAATGGTGCTTTTTCCTCAGTTATTTATTGGAAGTTTTGTTTGAAAGATGATGTGGTGGATTACTGTTCCTGTGCCTGCCTTTGACAATATGTGACATTGCTACCACAGTGTGTTAGTGACTAATCCTCTGAGTGTGAGAGCTTTCCCCTCCTCCGGATATCATTATCATTGGTAAGATAGCTTCCTTTCCTGCTATAATGTTCAGTGTCTACTTCCATGTGAGAGATGACAGGAGGCTGTGGGAGTGAAGATTGGTTAATATGGAGAAGTAAGGGACAAAGTTGGCATCTTTTCTGTTCATCTATGCCACATTTAGCCTGTGGTTTCTTTGTTTTTCTGCTTATTTTCACTTTTATGCATGTTCTCATAGTTTCTGGATCACTGGAGGCTAGTCTTTTAAATTTTATTTTTAGTTATGTGTGATGTGTTTCTTTGTGTGGATGGATATGTGTACATGGACATTGGTGCCCTCAGAGTGCCAAGAACAATATTAGAATCCTTAGAAATAAAGTTACAAGCAGCGGTGAGGCCCCTGTGTAGGTGCTGGAAATTGAATCTGGGTCTCCTGGAAGAGCAATATGCTGTCTTAAGTGCTGAGCCATCTTGCCAGCTCCAAGGCTACCTGTTTTCATTTCTAGATTCCTTATTACTTTCTCCTTTAATAGGTAGTGTCTTATCATTTAGACAAGTGGCATTGAATTGATTCATTATTTTATTATGTATTTGTGTGTTGCCTGCTTATATGTCTGGGTGCTGGGTACATGCCTGGCATCTCTGGAGACCACTAGAGGGCATTAGAACACTTAGAATTTCTCCAACCCTCTGCTTTTAAATCCTTCTGCTAGTATGCTGAAGTTGACGTGTTCTTAGTTTGCCATCTTTAACTTAAATTCTGCAAATGTCCCTCTCTGAGACAGGATTTTGTGAAAGTCTGTGTCTACTTCCTGTGTCCTATCTTTTCCCTTAACATTGTTTGTTTCATATTTTCTGATTATTTGAGAGGGGCAATGGAAGAGGAACAAATGGGGGGAGGACGAGAATGTATCTTTTCAGAATGCTTATTTTGCCACATTAACCTTCTCCCTACCCTCCTCTCCCTCTGCCCATACGTCCTGGTTTCTCAATGGTATTTTACTCTATGGTGAATCTTTGCATGGGTGTTTGGCTATCTATCTATCTATCTTTATTTATTTATTTTGTTTGTTGTTTTTCAAGACAGGGTTTCTCTGTGGTTTTAGAGGCTGTCCTGGAACTAGCTCTTGTAGACCAGGCTGATCTGGCACAGAGATCCGCCTGCCCCTGCCTCCCGAGTGCTGGGATTAAAGGCGTGGGCCATCAACGCCCGGCTATTTGGCTATTTTTAAAAATTATTTATTTTTGTTTTATGAGTATTGATTGATGTTTTGCCTGCATGCATGTTTGTGTAAGGGTGTCATATCCTCTGGAACTAGAGTTACAGACAGTGCTGAGATGCTATGTGGTTCTGGAAATTGAACTCAGGTTCTCTGAAAGAGCAGCCAGCATTCTTAACTGCTGAGCCATCTCTCCAGCCCAATATTTGGTGATTTTTTTTAAATAATGCTACAGCATTCTGTTTATATTCATTTTATGTGTTATTTTTTTCATGTATTAAATACTGTTAATAAATTGTTGAGTTAGTATTTCTCAGTTAGAAATTGGTTGGCTATATAGCTTTGTTTTAATCATTTAAAGGAGATTTTCTGTTTTCCTACCCTTTAGACATAGTAGCTATTACCCAATTATAAAATAGTTTACCACTTTCTTGGCCAAAAAAATTTTTGTAAAATTTCCATTTTCTTATAATTTACATTTTAAAATAGGACAGATTTTTTAAAATATGTACTCTTTCTTAAGCTAGGGATGATGAATCACAAGTAGTGATTGTTTGAGGAGAGGGACTTGGTGCCAAATGTGGGGTGGAACATAGCTGGAATCTCTTGGATCAGGACAGTACACCATGTGAAGAGTGAGCAGGGAAAACATTATTTATGCATATTTAGTAGAAACTCGTTTTTCACCCTTTTATCTCTTTTCTAATTAGTGCTCTGATATACCTTGCTTCTCTTTGTTCCTTTGAGATAGATAATGGAGCAGTCTTTTCAGGTAAACATTACTATCAAGGATTTCTGCTCTGGACACAGGCTAGACTTAGTTAGCTTTTGAAGGAAAAGCCTGCATTTGTTATTTTAGGTAGTTTAGTTTCTGGATTTCCCTTTGTCTTTGAAAAGTATCTGTGAAAAATACTTCTGAGGTTGTATTCCCCCTCTCTCTCCCCCCACAGAGTTTCTCTGTGTATCCTTGGCTGTCCTGGAACTCTCTCTCTAAACCAGACTGGCTTAGAGATCACAGAGATCCACCTGACTATGTCTTAAATTTATTTATGTTTTTATTTTACATCCCAGCTGCAGTTTCCCTTTCTTATTAAGATGAATGTGTTACCAGCAAGATGGGTGGGAGTGTTCAAAGCTGGTAACTAAGGAGGGTCCATGCCCAGTGGCATCCAAGACTATTGATTGGCTAACTAGCTACCAAACTGGATGGCTGTGCCATTTTCTTAAAATGTTTCAGAGGTTGAAAGATGTCTCCCTGTAAAAATTCTTTTGCCTGTCTTGCTTGAACCCTCTCATGAACACTTTCAAACAGGGGCAGAACTTCTAAAAGGAGGTGATCTTAGCTTTGTTTACTCTAAGCAGTCACTGGTCCTTCTCTCCAGGGTGAAATATACCAACTAGGTAACACAGTGAGGAAGACTCTTGTGGTCAGCAGGCAAACTATGCAGATTGCTGAAGTATGTAACATGAAAAAATAAAAGACCTAGAGACAGATGTTGGGGTTTAAGCTGAAGATCAGGGAAGCAAAGCAGCCAACCTACCAGAGCGCTCTTAATTCTAAAAGGGCTGGGGCATTTCTATCCTTAATGTTGCAGGAGAATGAATGCCTGATACTGACTACTGAAGAGCCTGCTCCTATCTTTTATAACCCTCTAGTGCTGAGATTAAAGGAGTATGATCCCAGGTGCCCAGATCATCTTTGTGTGAGCTGTTTCTCTTTAGGACTGGATCACTTTTAGACTTGGGTGGCCTTGGACTCTCAGAGATCTGTCTCTTAATCCTGGGATTAAAGGTGTGTACCACCACTGCCTGATCTCTATGGTTTGAGGTTGACTTTTCTTTCTGAATCCGCAGGCTTTAATAATTCATAAATAATATATCACTACAGAAGTGCTAATTCTAGTCAGAGCCTTTCAGAAAATGTACATCTCCAACTGATTTTTCTGTTTGTTGAAGTTGTAAATAAGATCACAAGATTATGTGCACATGTACTGACTCGTGTTCATGTGTAAGCCAGAGGAATATTTTGAGTGCCTTCCTTCCATCTCCCTTTTTCTTTTCCTTTCCCTTCTTGTCTCTCACTGAACCTGGAGCCTGCTGATCCGGCTAGATTGGCTGGTCAGCAAATTCCAGGGATCCTCTTGTTTCTGCCTTCCTAGCAGTGAGGTTATGGGTACTGCCATGCTTGTTTGTCTGCCTGTTTTATGTTGGTACTGTCTGGGCTGAAAAATGAATTCAAAGCCAGCCTGGGAAATAAGCCTGCCCCACTCAGAGAGAAAATCAATTGTTAGCAAGCTGGTATGGTATCATAATACCTAGATTCAAAAAGTAAAAACCATGGAAAAGAACAGAGTTGGAGATAGAGTTCACCAGTAAAATGCTTAGCTACCACAAACAAAGCCCTGAAGTGTGAAGTCCTGGGTTTGAAGTGCATGTGCGACATGCCCACATTCCTGAGTGAACTACCATTCCCAGTTTTGTGCAGTATCCAAAGACTTCCTGTGTGTATACAAACAAGTCCAAACTGGGCCATGAGATCCTGTCTGCAAGCAGTACAGAACAGAGGATTCATAGTATCTCCATGTAGTCTTTTTGTTCAGGAACAGTGGTGGTATCCTGGAGCTCCGATTGGAGGACTCTCCTAAGTTCCTGGATCATTTCACGTTAAACATGCTCAGTTATCCTGAGGTAATTGAATCTGTTAGTAATCTTTGACAATTTATAGAACAAAAGCACTGGGGGTGGTGGCACATGCCTTTAGACCCAGCACTTGAAGGCAGGCAGATCTCTGAGTTCAAGGCCAGGTGGTCTACAAAGTGAGTTTCAGGACAGCCAGTTCTACACAGAAAAACAGAAACCTTGCCTGGTGGTTGATGGGGGGACAAATGGACTCTAATCTGACTTGCTAGAAAGACCTTTCTCAAGGTGACTAGATGGCTCTTAGTAGCTCTGGGTTTGATTCCCAGCACCTGCAAAAGTGGCTTTACAACCACACAGAACTCAAGTCCCAGGGGTTTCATCTCCCTCAGCTAAACTCCTTGGGTACCAGACATAGGCACACAACACACGCAAAACTTATATACATAAATTTAAAAATGAAAAAAAGAAAGATCTTTTCTGTGGTGATAGTACTGAAGGTTTTGAGTGGGACAGGAATTAGTATGTTTCCTTTTACTGAAGATTGACAGTTTTGATGTGCTCTGTACTGCTAATACTACAAAGAATAGCAAAAAAAATTACATAGTCAGCATTTCCTTTTATTTTTACTTTGTTTTGCGATGTATAATTATTCTTTGTAATTATTGCAGGTATTCCATCTTCTAAACCAACTCTTCTAGCCAATGGTGATCATGGAATGGCAGCTAATATCACTACAGGTGAGTGGTCACTGGGTTCCTCAGATGTGGAGTTTCAATACTAAACATCTTGGCAAGCTCCTTTTGAGTATTATTTGGGAAGTATATGAGTTATTTCTGGGAACCTTGCCATTTCTGTTGGATGTATTTTAAACCAGGGCATCGCTCAACAATAGAAAGAGAAGAATTTGCTTTCATAGTCCTTGAATGTTAACTGGGAGTAAGCCACATAAGAATTGGGTCAATCTTTTTTTTTTTAACAAAATAATTTATTTATTCTTATTTTATGTACATTGGTGTTTTACCTGCATGTATGTCTGTGTTAAGGTGTCAGATCTTGGAGATACAGTTGTTACCTGTCATATGGGTGCTGGGAATTGAACCCCAGGTACTTTGGAAGAGGAGACAGTGCTCTTAACTGCCGAGTCATCTCTCCAAGCCTCTGTTCAGCCTTAAAATGAACTAAAATGAACTCTTTTTTGTTTTTTCTTCTTTTTTTTTGTTTTTGTTTTTTGAGATAGGGTTTCTCTGTGTAACAGCCCTCGTCCTGGAACTAACTCTGTAGACCAGGCTTGCCTGGAACTCACAGAGATCTGCCTGCCTCTGCTTCTGCTGGGATTAAAGGCATGCAACACCACCACCTGGTTTAAAATGAACTCTTACAGATGCAAAAAAGCCTTTACCTTGCTATATGAGAACCCTTTCTCTGCTCCCTGCAGCCCCAAGAAGTTAAGGCAGGTGTCCAACCTGGATGTGCTCTGCACTTAGTTTCCTCTTAAAGTCAACATGAAATCTACATGCCTTTCATCCCAGCGATTGGGAGTTTGAGGCCAGCCTGATCTACAAAATGAGTTCCAGGACAGCCAGCGCTGTTATACAGAGAAACCTGTCTCAAAACAAAACAAAACAAAACAAAAATGAAATGAACAAACCTACAACAGTAAATTAGAGTGCTTTGCTTTGTGTTTTGTTTTCAATTTTTTTCTCCCTTTCTTTTCCCTTAACTGTTGCTTTTGGGATTTATTTCTATAACTTGTAGCTTGGTGAGTTCCTGTGGGGTTTCACCTCAGAAGCATATGAACCTTGTCCCCTCACCCCAGTGTGGTTATTTATAATGAGCAAAATTGCCATAGCCATAGCAGGAGTCCACATGGGATGTGTTGTATTATATAAAACTTTTCTTAGGTAGCCTGCATGAGAGTCATGCACTAATTTTTGTAAGTAACTGCACTTAATTTGCAGTTGTGATCAGGCCGGCACAGTTGACCCAAATGAGTTTGGCTTTTAGTGCTGAGCAGAGTACATTCTTTCTTGCATCAGAAAACTCTCCTAACTCTGGGGTGCAGAATTTTGATTCACATCAGTGCACAGGAGGAAAGCACAAGATGTACTTCTTTTTCTTTCAGTTTTTATGATTGAGCCATGAAAAGCCTTGCTTTTAACTACCTTAGAGTTGTTCAGTTCTAAATGTTTCCAAAAGCTTTTTGTTATCAATAGCAGTTTCTTTAAAATGTATTCTTTATTTTTAAAATTTATATGTATGTGCTTGCATGAGTATGTATACCACATGTGTGCAGGAGCCTGAGAATGCCAAAAGCAAGTATTAAATTCCCTGGAACTGGTGTTACAGATAGTTGTGAGCCATCATATGGGCACTGGGAACTGAATTCAGGACCTCAGCAAGAGCAGCTAGTGCTCTTAACTGCTGACCCATTTTTTCATCCCTGACTCTTTATTTTCTAACCTTAAGAAATGTTGTAAGGTGAACCTAGTGGCTTAGGCTACTTGGGAGGCACAGGCAGGAAGAAAACAATCGAGGCCTCTATAGAGTGACTTTCTGGCAAGCCTGGGTAATATATTAAGACTTTATTTGAAAACAAAACACCTATCTATGTAATTTAGTGATAGATAACTTGTCAAACATGTATGAGACCATACTTTCACCTTACAGTATTTCCTCCTAAAAAAGAAAAATGCATATATCTTTATACCTCAAAGAAATTGAAGTCTAAGTTCTATTTTTTTGTAAACTTGTTTTATGTCATAAAATTAATTTCTTATTAGCAATATTGTACTTTGAAAACTAGGAATAAGCATAAGTGTCATGTTATCTTCAAAAGAATTGACTTTTTTTCCCCCTCTAGTTTTTTGAGACAGGGTTGCTCTGTGTGGCTTTGGAGGCTGTCCTGGAACTAGCTCTTGTAGACCAGGCTGGCCTTGGAACTCAAAGATCTGCTTGCTTCTGCCTCCTGAGTGCTGGGATTAAAGGTGTTTGCCACCACCGCTTGGCTTGACTTTTTTTTACTTTGACGGTTGTACTCATATGTGTTGATTATTTTTTTTCCTGCTTTGAAAGGAAAGATAAGATTAAAAGAAAAGTGGTTTAAATAAATATGAGCTTTTAAACATGAATGCTTTTAGCCAGGATGTGTTGGCTCACACCTGTAATTACAGCACTTGACAGGCAATTTGAGGCTATACGCATAATTAAAGCAACCTTAATGAAACAAAAAGCAAAAAAGTAAACATGGTATTTTTAACCTGGAGTTAGTTCTGAAAGGAAGAAGGGATGAAGGATATCTATATGAAAAAGCTATTTGAAACAAGTGGGTATTGTTTGTCACATAGGAATGAACAGCAGTCAAATCTAGGTTAGACTTCTTCTCTAACAAGGTGTTGGACCAGAAGACTTAATGTTTTTTTTTTGTTTTGTTTTTTTTAAGATATGTATGTATGTATGTATGTATGTATGTATGTATGTATGTATGTATGTATGTATGTATGTATGTATGTATGTATGTATGTATGTATGTATGTATGTATGTATGTATGTATGTATGTATGTATGTATGTATGTATGTATGTATGTATGTATGTATGTATGTATGTATGTATGTATGTATGTATGTGTAGGGGGTGGCAATGGCGGTGGAGACAGCATGGGATCTCCTGTAGTTACAAATAGTTGTAAATCATCTGATGTGGGTGTTGGGAATCCAACTCAGGTTCTCTGAAAGCGTCATCTCTTCAGTGTTTTAAAAGATCTTAATAATGCAGTGGCTGGGCCAGGGCTGTGTGCCCAATATACAGTATTGAAACATCAAGAGTGTCCTGATGGCAGAAGGGGGAACCCAGCTCTTTAGTGAGTTGCCCATTGGCACCATAAGAGCAGGCGTTTCTACTTTCAGACATCTTTCCTTCCTTAGGAAAAATGTAGTGTTTGCATCCAGATTGTTTGGGTTCTGAGGTTGACCACTTTAATTGCTTTCAGAAACAAGTGGTTTACTGAGTATACAGATTTCATTAGAGGAGGGAAGACACAGAGTGGGCGAAGAGTGCATGTTTTGGGGAGCATGTTGTGACTTGCTTTGATCACTAACTAGAGCATCTGGCTTAGTGCTTTTCTGAAAACTCCCCTCTCAGTTTCTTCAGAGTGTTGTCTGAGCTGAGAGAGGAGCAGCTCCACTGAGAGCATAGTGGAGTTTATGAGCATCTTGCTGTATTGAACTTGCTGTTTACTAATGACCTGTGCTTTTCCACCCTTTCCTTCCCCTTCCTGTTTCTTTGTCCCTTTCTATTTTTCTCCTCCTAGAAGCCTAGCGTGTCTCTCAACACTGGGGCTGCTGCAACACCAGACCAGTGATCTTTCCTAAGCACCGTTACACTTCTAAAATCTTCAGCATTTTGCAGCTTTGCTTTTCCTTCCTGGACACCATGTAAAAGAAGCTGAGGGTAGTTCTTCGGGGCCTATTTCTGCTGATGCCTGAACAAACCACCTGCTTCTTATGTTCTGCAGGGCTTGATGGAACCTCCTTTCCCTTTGTGAGCACAATGTGCAAAATGAATTCTTTTGATTTTAGTATTTTTATAAGTCATCAAATGTTATTTCTTTTTCTTGATCTTTTAGATTCATTTTATTATTTAATTAATCCTTACATTTTTCTTTAAACATTTTTTAGTTGGCCTTCTCCATTTGTTTTTTTTTTTCTTTCTTTCTTTCTTTCCTATTTTTCATACTTAATGGGAATCAGCACACTGTAAAATCAATTGAGAACCTGTGCTTTCATAAAGGGGTTGAGGCCACCGAGCTGCAGTGAATTTCCCTTATCTGCCTCTCCCGCTTTCCTTTGTGAGCTTTGCTTTTAGTGAAGGTCAGGCAACCAGTGTTTCTTTTCACCTTACTAAAATCTGAATTAATGTTTTCCAGTTGAAAATTATTTCTCTGAATGAAACTGTTGTTTGTGCTGGGTGTTGTGGTGAGTACCTTTAATCCCAGCCTACAGAGGTTGGCTGATCTTTCTGAATCCCAGCAAGCTAGAGCTACACACTGACACCCTGTCTTTTTTTTTTTTTTTTTTTTTTTTTTTTTTTTTTTTTTTTGGAAGGTGGACCCAAGTTGTTTTTATCATAAACTATATTACCTATTTGTGGAGACCTAGACTCTTCTGAAAATTTGACAACACAATTATTGTGAATTTATTTTTTTAAAAATATTCGAGGTTACTTTTTTAAACAAAATCATAAAATATCAGAATAAGAATTGGGAAGTTGAAGAAACTGGAGTTGACTCCTGCAGTATGCAGAGGGGGATTGATTAGGATAAAAAGCAGTTTCTCCTGAGCAACAGAGAAGCCAACAGCAGAACACTGAGAAGCACTGGCTGCTTAGCCAGCTTCTAAAACAGTTACAATTCCCTGGCCCCTGCATACCAGCTACCTTCAGGCTGTCCTTGTACTGCTGGTCTTAAGCATTCCCTTTGCTAGCTGAGACTTCATACAGGTGTCATTGTGCCTGTATGTCAAATTGTTGTCTGATTGATCCAGAAATGCATTCAGGATTAGGGTCTGTTTGAGATCTGAACTGCTTTTTTTTTTTTTTTTTTAAGCATTCCAGTGGAAATGGTATATCATGTGAAGTCCTGAGTGTAAAATCCTTTATCATGAAATGAGATCTCATTGCGACTTTTTTCTCTACTATTTCCCAAAGAAATAAGTAAAATTAAACAGAACAACATGAAACCT